AGCGTTTACTATGGGGAAGTTAGGGTTGCTGAGTTGGAATCAACTGGGTTTGATTTTCAAGTTCTGCTGGCCTGGAGGAGAGGGGTCCTCATCCAGATCCTGGCTAAGCGCTGCCCCTTAAAGAGACCCCAAGTACAACAGAACAAAATCCTAACCGATCCTGCGCCATCCTCACCGATGCTTGTGTTTGAGCCCATGGTAGCCTGTGTCAATCCATCGCAGTGGGTCCTCCTTCGGCTTTGACCGTGATTTCTACTTTACCAAGCATGGTGTCCTTCTCCAAGAGCTGATCGCTCCTGATAACGTGTCCAAAATACCTACGATGAAGTCTCACCATGATTGTTTCTTTCTTTTTCTTTTTTTTTTTTCTTTTTTTAAACATTTTATTAGAGGCTCATACAACTGTTATCGCAATCCATACACACATCAATTGTGTAAAGCGCATCTGTACATCATTCTCAAAACATTTTCTCTCCACTTAAACCCCCGACATTAGGTCCTCATTTTTCCCCTCCCTCCCCGCTCCCCTCTTTTTTTTTTTAAGTATTTTATTGGGGACTCTTACAGCTCTTAAAACAATCCGAACATCAATTGTATTGATCACATTTGTGCATGTTGCCATCTTTTTTTTTTAATTACAAAGCTACGTTTAATACTTTGGGATGAGCCCCACAGGGATAAAAAGCACTGGGAGGGGTAACCCCCTGACCCCCAGGTGTGACCCAGGGTGAGAGGGACTACCTGAGGGAAAAGAAGCACAAAAGGGACCCGCTGTAGACTGGGGGCAAAGGGCATGTCATCGGTGCTGGGACCTGTGAGCACTACAGGAAGAACGCCAGCTTGGTAGGACTGGCGGAGGGAGGGCAAGAGGGTTGGACATGAAGCCAGAGATCCGTGGGTTCCTCCTTCTCTCTCGTCTGCCCTTTCTGCTTCTGCAGCGTGATCTCCGAGTCCCTCTACTTGCAGGCAGCAGCAGAAAGCCCGTCATCTCGAGGCTTTCCCTTAACCGAGTCTCGGTTTTCATCTTCTGGCGGGCACGCTCGCATCGGTTACCGCGGGTCCTGATGGCAGCAGATCCCGCCTGTCTAGATTGCGTCCCCTGGTTCTGTCTCACCATCATCACTTTTAAAGCATTTTCTACTTGAGCCCTTGGTATCATGGCTCCCCATTTTTCCTATCCCCCTCCCTCGTGAACCCTTAAATTATAATTTTCATATCTTACACTGTCCACTGTCTCCCTTCACCCACGTTTCTGTTGCTCTTCCGGGAGAGTGGGGGGAGTTATATGTTGATCACTAAGATGAATTCCCCCTTTCCCCCTTCTCCCTACAATTATGGTATCACCACTCTCATTACGGTGTCTGAGGGGGTTATCTGTCCTGGATTCCGTGTTGAGAGCTCTTTTCTGTACCTATGAACTATGGTCATGATAGGGGGTGGTGGTGGAGGGGGAACATTAAGGAACTAGAGGAATGTTGTTTCATCAGTGCTACACTGCAACCTGGCTGACTCATTCCTTCCTTGTGACCCTTCTGTGAGGGGATGTCCAATTGCCTAGAGATGGGCCTTGGATCTCCACTGGACCCTTCTTATTCACATCAATATGATTGTTTTGGGTCTTCTGATACCTTATCCTATCAACACCTTGTGATCACAAATGCTGGTATGATTCTTCGTAGACTTTGCTGCTTCTCTGCTAAATACCATCCTTGTTTTTAAGTTACCTTCTGGCTGTATTTCTTCCAAGACAGATTTGTTTTTCCGACAGTCCATGGCGCTTACAATAGTCCTCGACAACGCCATAATTCAAATGCATCAAGTCCTCGTCAGTCTTCCTTACTCATGGCCCATCTTTTTTTAAAAATCATTTTATTGGGGGCGTGTACAATTCTTATCACAATCCATACATACATCCATTGTGTCAAACACCTATATACGTTTGTTGCCCTCATCATTCTCAAAACATTTGCCTTGTACTTTAGCCCAAATATCAGCTGCTCATTTTCCCCCTCCCTCATAAACCCTTCATAATTCATAAATTATTATTGTTTTGTCATGTTATACTGTCTGACGTCTCCCCCCACCCTCTTCCCTGCTGTCCCCAGGGAGGAGGCCATATGTAGATTCTTGTAATCCCTTCCCCTTTTCTACCCCACATTCCCTCCACCCTCCAGGCATCACCTCTCACCACTTATCCTGAAGGAGTCATCCGTCCTGGATTTCCTGTTTCCAGTTGCTATCTGTACCAATGTACATGCTCTGGTCCAGTCAGATTTGTAAGATAGAATTGGGATCATGATAGTGTGGGGAGGAAGCATTTAAGAACTAGAGGAAAGTTATATGTTTCATTGTTGTTACCCTGCACCCTGACTAGCTCATCTCCTCCCCACAACCCTTCAGTAAAGGGGTGTCCAGTTGCCTACCGATGGGCTTTGAGTCTCTACTCTATACTCACCCACCTTTACAGTGATGATTTTTTGTTCTTTGATGCTTGATACCTGATCCCTTCCACAGCTTGTGGTCACACAGGCTGGTGTGCTTCTTCCATGTGGGCTTTGTTGCTTCTGAGCTAGTTGCCCGCTTGTTTATCTTCAAGCCTTTAAGACTCCAGACGCTATATCTTTTAATAGCCAGGCACCATTAGCTCTCTTCACCACATTTGCTTATGCACATGTTTGTCTTCAGTGATTGTATCAGTAAAGTTGGCACCCACTGATATGATTTTTAGTTCTTTGATGTCTGATTAACTGGTCCCTTCTACACCTCGTGGTCAGACAGGCTGGTGTGCTTCTTCCATATGGGCTTTGATGCTTCTCAGCTAGATGGCCACTTGTTTATCTTCAAGCCTTTAAGACCCCAGACGCTATATCTTTTGATAGCCAGGCACCATCAGCTTTCTTCACCACATTTGCTTATGGCTCACACATTTTTCTTCATCAATCATGCCAGGAAGGTGTGCATCCTGGAATGCCAATTTAATAGAACAGCGTGTTCTTGCATACTCATGGCCCATCTTTGACATGCAAGTTTTCATTGGATATATCATGGCTTGGATCAGCCAGGAGTTGGAATCGACTCCATGTCGGTGAGGATTTTTTTGTTGTTTTAAGTGTACCCCAAATAGGAGAATTTTACTAACTGTAAATTATGCTTTTAAAAAAACATTCTTAAAAGTGGAAAAGAAGATAGATTCTTGGTCTGACTTTCCACCCAAGGAGCCATCATGGAATAAGATACTGGCTATTTTTCCTATTGTTCCTCAGACCTCATCTACCAGCCAGTGTGCCCATGCCATTCAAAATGTCACTCATCCTAACATTTTCTATACATACACACAAAGCCATAGACATACAGTCTATTCCAATTCACATGAGCCCATGAATTAAGGGTAGAACTGCTTCAAAGTCGCCTGGCCTTTTTTCTATGGCACCACTAATGGATTTGAAGTTACAACCTTAGATGAATATAGGGCACAAAACCTTTGCAAAGCTTAAGAGAAAAATAGCTACACTGGATGTGTTGTGCAGTGGTCATGGCCATGGAGTCTAGAGCTCTCCAAGCTCTACTAAGACTCAATCCCCTTGTGTCATTAGAACTCCCAAATGTCAGATACCAAAAATCCAAATAACTGTCAGTCTATTTCTACTCATTACGACCCTATAGGGCAGGGTAGAACTGCCCCTATGGGTTTCTGAGACCGTAACTCAATATGAGAGTAAGAAGCCTCAGCATTCTCTCCAGAAGCAGCTGGTGGTTTTGAACTGCAGACCTTATGATTAGCAGCTTAACGTATAACCACTATGCCACCAAGCCTCCTACATTCAGATAAGGACCTCTTATCTCCACCATGAAGGGGTGCTCCATCTCTATAGGTGCTGAGATGAAGGTTCCACATGTGGCAGTTAAGGCATCAACTAGGACTCCTGAACATCTGGTATACCTGCTGCTCCATATGTTAAGAACCTGTGGTATAGCAGATGGTTTTATTCTTGCCTGCCACCCAAGAGGATTTAGGAGTCCCTCTCCCCACCCAACACCTTCTCTATCTTTCCAGTGAATCCAGGAAAGGAAATGACCAGGATTTCTCCTCCCTACATCACTCATAAGCTGCAGGGGTCATCACACTCACTCCCATCCAAACCACTCTACTGGGTCAGGCAACACTTGGCCCATTAGTACCTTCTGTTCCAGTCCAGGGGAGCCCTGGTAGCATAGTGGTTACGTATTCAGCTTCCATCTGCAAGGTTAGTGGTTTGAAACAGCTTCCTACCCCCATACACAGCTAGTCACAGAAACCCACAAGGCAGTTCTGCTGTCCTATAGGGTCACTGTGAGTTGGTATGGACTCGATGGCAGAGAGTGAGTGGGACTCCAGTCCAGAGGAGCCCTGATGGTACAGTGGCTAAGCTCTTGGCTGCTAACTGAAAACTCAACCTTCTGACCCCACCCTACAACTGTCGCTGCCTGCTTCCCATAGAGATTATTACCCTCTGGGATCATTCTATTCTGTCTTACAGGGTCATGATGAGCCTCAATGACACCAGGTTTTCTTTCTGGGGCCCGAGTCTCAGGATGGGGCAGATGATTCAGCACTCAGTTACCAGCTAAAGCAGTGGTTCTCAACCTTCCTAATGCCTTGGCCCTTTAATACAGTTCCTCATGTTGTGGTGACCCCCAAGCATAAAATTATTTTCGCTGCTACTTCCATAACTGTAATTTTGTTACAGTTATGTTTTCCGATGGTCTTAGGCAACCCACAGGATGAGAACTGCTGAGCTAAAGGTTGGCAGCTTGAACCCACCCAGAAAGGCACAGGAACAAAGGGTGGAAAGATCACCTTAATTAAAAGGGCTTTCAGTGCACAGTTCTACTTGGATGGCCCAAGTCCAAGTCGACCCCACAGCAACTGGTTTTGGCTGTGTATGCTTGTCTATTTCACTCTGGCCCACCAAGCCGGCATAGTTCTTCAGGCGAGCAAGCACTCGGGGGGACACAGAGGCTAGAAAACAAGGTACAAACTTTATTTTGTTGCTTTACAAAGGCACAGTGGCCTCTTGGTTTCCCCACCCCCCCCACTTTCTTAACAAAATATAATAGCTTCTCCTTGAACACAAAGACCTCAAATTTTTTTAAAAAAACAACAAAACAAAACAAAGAGGTGAGGAAAAAAAACAACAACGAACAAAACAAAAAGAGAGACAAAGACATTTTTGGGGTTGAAGATGGGAAACCGGTAGGGATAGGTGGGGTTGCGTGGGGAGTAGAGTGGCTAACCCTAGTGCTAAGAGGGGGTAGGGATGGGGGAGGAGGGCAGCAGCAAACCCCAAAACCGAGAAGCAACATCAACACCCCCCCCAACCCCCCAGAAAGCCCAGACCCAGCCAGACCCCCAACCCATGTTAAGTGCTTAAAGGAAAAAGAAGAAAACCAAAGAGAGGTGGGAAGGAGGGATTAAAGACTGGCTGTTGCAAGGCTGCCTCTGGGGAGGGAAGAGCGAGCTTGGGGTTACATTTCATTTTCCCTGTTCTTAAAAAACATGTTTAAAATGAAAAAATGTTTTATTTTTTTTTTTGGCAGAGAGAAACCAGGCACCTCAGTGTCTGTGTCCCCAGCCTCCAGGGCTGAGGCCCAGCCCCAGTATCCCAAGGCCCCACACACGCTCCAGGCCACCCCAGCCCCTGTGACCTTGAGTTGGGTGGCTCCGTTCAAAGGTCAATTTACAGTATCGAAAAAGAGGTCATAAAAGAGACCCAAATGACATTGTAATTTTGTAAAAATCTCTCACTCATTCGCCCACGTTTCTCCCTGCTGCTGTCCCGGGCCCCTCCAGCCCCCATTAGGGAGAGGAGGGCTGGGGCTGGTCAGGGAAGCTCTTCCCGACTCTGGTCCATGGTGTCACTGTCGGCGGCCTCCGAATCGGAGGCGGTGTCGGAGGCGGGGGGCTCGGAGCCACTGCGAAGGGGCTTTACGATGACGGCCCGCCGCTCCTCTTCCTGCCGCTCCTGGGTGCCCTCGATGTGCTGGATCGCCTGTGTGGGGACAGAGTGCCGATAAGGCCCCCCACCCACACACGCCCCACAACTGTCGGCCAGTGAGCCTAGCGAGGGAGGAAGCAGCAGGCCGGCCAGTGCCTGGGGGAGCCAACTTTAGAAAGCACTTCAGCTGAGTTGAAAACCCCTTAGGGGCCAACAGCAGCCTCACTGTTGTTTTGAAGTGAAGAGGGGTTTTCACATATTTATGCCTCTTAACTTAATAAGCGTCTTTGTTATTAACTTTGCTGTTCAATTAGCTGGGTTTATGTTCAACTCAAGTTCCAGGGGTTGAAAGACAGTTTTTTTGTTTGCTTCTTTTCCATGCTGGCTTCTTTGGTTAATGAATTAATAAGTTTATTTGATGTTCTTGGGTTCTCTCCAAGGGGACTAGCCTAACACTGAGTGTAGCAGTAACAACAGGTTAGACCCAGAAAATTGCTCATTCTAATCCGCCCTCCACTGCTGGAGGCTTAATTGACACCCACCCAGGTCCAAGGAGATAGTAGTGAAAGAAAATTCTGGACCAACTTCAGGGTGAGAGACCCAAAGTCTTTAACCCAGACTCTGAGAACTGAGGGTCTTCTTGGCTAGAGTCAGTGGGGCTATATGAACCTCCAAAATTACTGCCTCAAGATTATCTTTAAACCTTAAACCACAAATATCGCCTAAATTGTTTTGAAAACCAAACTCGGGTTTAGCTTAAGCAATAAAAAAGGTCTATCTTGAGTATTGTGTTCTTTTAAGATCGATTGAAATGGAATCAAACTGACAACAGCAACTCGAAAGATTGGATGGGAACAGGCACTGAGTTCACGTCAGTGGGAGTGGGGGATGACTCGGAAAGGGAGGGTGAGAAGGGTTGCATACTGCCAAGAACGTCACCAATTGTACATGTGTTGAACTGATGTAAGTTTCACTGTGTATATTCAACAATAACAAAATACAGTTAAACTTTTTTCAACATCTGGCACTACTAAAAAAAAGGGAGTTGTCTTCAACTCCATGTAGGATACAGGAGCAGGGTCTCTTCAAGACCTCTGCATCCCTCTGGCCAGGTGGACCCCACTCGCAGCTCTCAACAGAGCAGCTACCCACTTGACAGGTACAGAAATGGGGAGTTGAAGATGCCACCCCCTAACCTCCGTCTCGCTCCCTATGGGCTGCACCCTCCACAAGCCCAGGTACCTGCACGATGGTGTCCAAGTTTTGCCGGGACGTGGAGACAGAGTTGATGACTGAGGAGGGGCCCATGGTGACAACGTTGATGTGGTGGGAGGGCGGAGGAGGTGGTGCCGGCACAATCACCGTAGGGTGGTGGGTGGGGGCCGGAGGGGGCAGGAGCTGCAACACAGAGGTCTTCAGTGTCTCTCCCCAAGGTCCTTGCCCTCAGGAACAGCCCTCTGAAACCAGCTCTCCCTACCCACTTCTCCCACCCACCACCCAGCTGATAGTCCCCCCGAGCCCTCTGAGTTTAAAAGGCCTAGAGAGGAGCTCCCAGCCACCCAAGATCACAAGGCCCCTTTGCTTTGAAGCATCAAGTGTAAAGTGACCAGATTTTAACATTGGTAAAGCGGGACACCATTGATAAAACTCATATCCTGGCGAAATAGCCACATGGCCTCCTCCAAAAACCGTATACCCTACCTAGCTCGTCGAGTATTCTATGCAAAAAATCGGGACTTTTTAAAAACGCCACAGGACTTGGGAAAAATTGTTAAAAATCAGAACTGTCAAAAAAAAAAAAAATCAGAACTGTCCCGCCAAAAGCAGGACATCTGGTCACCTTAATCAAGTGGGCAGTTTAAAGTTCGACTGTGGTGTAAGTGGGAAGTCTGTGGCATTCAGACACACTAGATTACACACTAGATTTTGCCAGCCAGGATTCAAATCCCTGCTCCAAACCACACACTAGCCCAAGGCCCTTGGGCTTATTATTTAACTAGGCCTCAGTTTTCTCACTGTGATCCAGGAACAATAGCACCCCGGTCCTCTAGAGGCTGCTAAAAACATTCAACACCATTTCATACACAGCACAGCTGCAAGTCTGGAACATTACAATATCGGCCCAGCTGGACATTCGGGGGTGCAGTGATGGGGTGATGCCTGCTGGGGAAGAGGAGCAAGGCCCACTCACCTGGGTGCGTAGGTGCTGCTGTTCCCGCTCCAGTTTCTCCTGGTGCAGCAGCCGCACCTGCTCTTGCTGCTGCTGTAGCTGCACCTGCTGTGCAATCACCTTGAGCTTTTCTGGGTACATGTGAGCCTCCAACGAGCGCACCTGGGGTCAAAGCAGCTGGCTTAGGGCAAGGCGAGGCCCACACTCAATGCTGAAGCCCATTTGTGGGGCCCTGCAAATTCCCAAGCAGCTCACAGGCCCCAACATGCTGCCCCAAACTCTATCTGCTGCTAGGAAGACTGGTCAACCTGCCAGTGAACTTAGCTCAGAGCCCACTACCTACTGGGCAGGAACCAGAGCAGCAGCCTGGAAGGAGGACCCTACTAGACCAGGCCAGTCCCGATGTGTCCCCTCCTTTCCCTCCTCCCTCACAGTGGCCTCATCATACCAGGCTCCCTCCCTCCTGCCTCCAGGCTGTTCCCTCTGCCTGGATCTTCTGAAGGGAACCTTGATGCAGCCCCTCCAGAACTAGCCCAGACCCCCTAAGGATGCCCACACAGAAACTATGGCCTCAATCACAGCTGTGTGGGGCAGGGGTGGGGAGTTGAGTTAGCTTGTTGTGCCAACCTGGCTGATAAACACATGGGGTTAATTGAAGGGCAGAGGGATAAACAGCTCAGTGAGCCTCGCCTTTCTAGTTCTCAGGTCTCTTGCTTTCTGATGGTCGGACCAGAGTGCAGCTGCCTTAGCCAGTTCCCTGCTTCAGCTGGCAAGGTTCACTTCCTGCAAGGCATCCCTGAGGAGAAACCACATGGACCTACCCCGATGCAGCCCTGGGTGCTGGAGCACCGTGTGGAGACCCTGCCAGTGCTAAGATGCTTACACATTCACTGATTTGGCTTTCCTCCTGCAGTCAGCATCATTGCGTGTGTTTTGTGAGATGGAGGAGGAGGACTTTGTGGATTGGTGTAAGACCTATAGGCTAATGTTGGACTTGTGAGCTTGGGCAGCACTGGGTTGGGATGTTTTCTTGATGCACACTTAACCTTTATAAAAAAATCTCTCTTATACATGAGTTTCTGTGGATTTGTTTCTCTAAAGTACTCAGACGAACACAGGTGTGGTAACATCCTGTGACAAACTCAGCTCCATGGCCAAGATGGTACCCTCACCCCTAGTGGCTGAGGGTACATCTGGTACCTCCCCTCACTTTCCAGCCTGGCCCAAAGTTGTTGAAATCGCTGGGTGCCATGACCCCAGAGGACAGTGTGTGAACTGCCCCATCATGTTTCCTAAGATACCATTTTGACATGGGAGAAACCCAAGTGCAGCAGAGATTAAAGCGCTCAGTTGCTAACCAGAAGGTCAGAGGTTCAAACCCAATGGGAGAAAGCCATGGCTGTTGGATTCCATAAAAATTATGGGACATTTCTACTCCACCCCATAGGGTAGGTCACTTTTTTTTTTTCTTCTGTAACCTGTATGGGAGCAGGTCACCAGGCCTTTACTTCTGTGGAGCTGGGTTCAAAGTGCCAACCGCTCAGTTCGCAACCTTCTTCTCCCTGGGGTTTAACACAGTGCACCACCAGGGCTGGCGACTCCGAAGGCAGGCAGGGGGACCCGCCCCGGCCAGCTGGAATGCCCGCGCAGCCGCGCACTCTTTCTCCTGGCCAGCAGGGGGCGCCGCCTCACCTGCTCCTCCAGCATCATGCGCACTGAGCGCTCCTTGTCTAGCTGCTGCCGCAGCTCAATCATCTCCCTCCGCAGGTCCTCGGCTTTCTCATCTTCCCAGATGTCGGGGGAGCCAATGCCCTCATCTTTGTCCTCCGCCCGGCGCCGCTTAGGGGATGAGCCGCTCAGTTCCTGCAGACCCCAGAGGGGTGAGTGAGTATGACTCAACACCTGACCACTGCCGGGGTGTGAGGTCACACAGACCCGCATAAGTATCAGAACGCAAGGTCCATTTCTGTGGCTTCAATACGCCCCCAGTTTGAGTTGCTAGCTATAGCAGCCACAGCAGATATGGATAACCCAGTTCCTTTCAGAACCACCTTGGGCACCCTGGGCAGAGGGTAAACAAAAGCCCAGGTAGGAAGGCAGGTGCTGGGAGCAGGTGGTCTGTGGTGAGAGGCAGGGCAGGCAGCAAGGAGCTTCGGGTAGTGCTAGTAGTGCAGGGGGCCCTGGGACGGCCCAAGCGGCAGGAGAAAGGAGAGGTGGCAAGGGAGTGGGCCGGCAGGTGACAGGGGAGGACTCCCCGGGGCAGTACCTGGATGAAGCGCTTGAGCTGGGTGTTCTGCTGCAGAAGTCGGGTCTTCTCCTGCTCCAGCGAAAAGATGTACTCAGCTGTCTGCTGGAGGATGGCTGCCTGTAGGCAAGAGGGGTTGCCAGTCAGGGGCTGAGCTGATGGCCTCTGCCATCGCAGCCACTGCCACCCCCAGGAAGCCCTCCCAGCCCTCCCCGCCAGGTGCACCTTGCTGAGCTTCTCTCCATCCGTGTGGGGAATGAGGGTCTTGAGGGACTGGAAGCCGGCGTTGATGCTCTGCATGCGCCGCCGCTCATTGCTGTTGGCAATCTCCCTTCGGATCCGACGCTCCTGGTCCCGCTGTGTCTCTGGGGTCAGTGGAATATTGGCCAGGCTGTGGGATGAGAGGGGCCCACTGACGCCAGGTGCCTGCTGGACCCACCCCCAATGGACCTCTGTCTTTTTCATTCCACCTGTATCCCTTCCAGGGCAGAAGAGGCCAGGCCTGACACCTAAGGGGAGATGGGGGTGGGGGTGGGGGGCGCGGGTTAGTGGAGTGGAGTGGAGGGGATGGGAAGCTAGTGAAGACAAAGCTTTGGGAAGTCCCTGTCTGAATGAGACTGACCCTTCTCCAGAACAGGATGTCAAAGCACCCAGGAACTTATAGGGAAACCCTAGAAGCCTCCATGGTTAAGATGCAGCCCTGATTCTGAAGCATGTGGGTACCAGGTGACAATCAGGGCACCTGGGGCCACAGCTACCATTCTTGATCAAAGAACTCATAGAAGACTCAGTCCAAAGAGGTAGAAAATGCAGAACAGAATTTCAAGTTCTCATGGAATCCAGACTTTCTGGATCCATGAAAGCTGAATGCAAACCCCCTAAAAAATACATTAAATTTTACACCAAAAAGATCCCCTGAAATCTTCTTCAAACTATACTATAAACCCACTGCCATTGAGTTTATTCTGACCTTTAATGACCCTACTCAACTTTTCTAGGGCTGTTAATCTTTATGGACACAGATTCATCCTTCTCTCATGGAATAGATTGGTGGGTTTGAACCACTGACAGTGTGGTTAGCAGCCCAGTGCTTACCCAGCAAGGGCTCCTTAAGTCACACAAAAGTTTAGTAAGTAAAGACCATCTGGCTTGAGCATAGTGCTCTTTCAAGAAGATGATCTACATGGGATCAAACTTGACAAGAGCTAGTCCCAAAATAAGATAAGAAGCTGAAGGGGTGTCAAGTTTGTGTTAATGGGGGAGAATTCCAAAAAGGGAGGTAAGAATGGCTGAAATGGATGAATGGAATCAGTGTCACTCAGTTGTAAACGCAGAAATTGTTGAATTGGTATATGCCTGCTATGTGTATTCTCAATAGCAAATAAAATGTCAAACAACACCTGGATAAGTCCGAGCACTTGTACCTCTGAGCACTGCCCCCACCTGGACCATGTCACCCAGACTCAGGCCTGGTCCCTCTCCCCTTCCTTCCCATCCCCGCATCTGAGTCTCCAGCCTTCCTGGTCTCAGACCCCAAAGAAGATGAGAACCACTCTTCTCCTACGGACCACTGGGCCCATAGTGCCTGAGGACAGATGGTTCTCCTCTCCCTGGCCTGAGCCCCCTTGCCACTAGGGGCAGCTCTCCCTGTGCCTGAGAAGTGAGACTCCCAGCATGCTGTGGGCAATTAAAGGCTGCAGGAGCCTTGGCCAGCGGGTGAGAGAGAAGGCAGCCAGGGGTAGGGGTGAGGCTGCTGGCCAGGCAAGAGGAGTCTGTGGGCCCAACGCCACTGCTCCCAAGGGGTGGGCCTGTGTGTGGCCTGGCGGAGGCATGCCCCCTTTCCCGGCCCCCTGCCCCCCTCATGGGCCTGATGGCTTCCAGATGCTGGGCTCCCAGCAGAGGCTGCTGGCCCCACCCAAAGCCACAGTCACAGCCTCTTCCTGAGGGGCCCTCCCAGGGTGACCTGCTCCAAGCCTGGGCCAAAGAAGTCCTTGCTCTGAGTCTGGGGGTGACAAGGCAATACTGGCATCGCAGCTCCCCAGGGGGAGGGGGAGGGCAGGGCCAAGAGGTCCCCCTCCCGGCCATGCCCCTGTCTCAAGTACTGTCCCTAAGCAGAAAGGCACTGACCCCAGGAGAGGAATGCATCTGGAGCAGTTAGTCCCACCCAAGGCCCTTTGGCCAGACCTATCTCACTGCTCCGGAGAACTTGGGGCCTGGACGTCCTCCTCCACCAAGAGGTTGCTGGCTGGAGGTGGGCTTCACACCAGACAAGCCCACACTGCTGCTGGAGGTCCAAAGGAAAGCCAACCTCCTCCACCTGTCCAGGACCACTCAGGGTTCTGGGACTGTCAGAGCTAGGAAGGAGGTTCACCAGCCTCACTTCAGAAGAATGGGAAAGGGCACGTTGCAGGGTCAGGCAGCCAGTATCTGGCTTCCCTACTTCTGGGCTGGGGGAGGGGGCAGAAGCTGGGGGGTCGTCTCGGTTCTCCCAGTTTTCCTCTCCCACCCTGGGGTGGCAGTGGTCTGAGAAAGGATGAAAGAAGTGGGTGGGTCAAAGCTAGAAGTCTCTGGGGTCAGGAGGAGCTAGAAGAGAAGTCCATAGGAAGCCAAGTCCCCATCACTTTACCTTGCCCTCACCCAGCCATTAGTTGAGGCCATAGCTGAACCACAAGAGCCCTAATGCATCCACACTTGCGTGGGCCACCCTAAGTGGCGAACTTCCCAAAAGCCCCATGGAGAGGGCCTAGCAGCAGAGTAATAAAACCAAACACCAAACTCACTGCCATCAAATAGACTCTGAATCATAGCTACCCTATAGGACAGGGTAGAACTGCCCCTGCAGGTTTCTGACACTATTTACTAGAGTAGAACATCAGACTTCATAGTGATAGACTTGATTTGAATTTTAAGAGTTAACTAGAGTGTACTGCTTTAGTGGTAGAAGCCCCAACCCTACCCCCCACACCCCTTCCATACAAGTGCTTGGAGCCCTGATGGTATAGTGGGTAATGCACTGGGCTGCTAAATGCAAGGTCAGCAGTTCAAAACTGCTAGCCAGCTCCTTGGGAGAAAGATGAGGCTTTCTACTCCCATCCTACAGGGACGCTAAGCATCAGAATTGACTGATGGCAGTGAGTTGGGTTTGGTTATACAGCAGACACGTCCTCCCAAACACGTCCTCCCAAACAAGGAACCCAGGGTGGGATAAGAGGGTAATGTGCCCCAGGCCAGGCAGCTAGACCCAGTGGTGCCCTCAGAGCTCATGTTCCTCCCCTGCCCCACCAGCTAATGGCACCCTCATGCTGTTGTCTAGTCAGCAGCCCCAAACTCATGATGACTTCATGCACAAAAGAACAAAAGGCTACCCAGTTGTAGACCAGCCCCATAATTGGCTGTGGATTGAACTTCTATATAACAGTGTTTTGTTTTATTTTCAAATGCTGATTTTTGAAAGTCGATAACCAGGCCTTTCTTCCTAGTCTGAGTCCATGCAAGCCTCCACCAAGAGACAGACAGGTGTCATTTGCACATGAAGTACCCCAGAATCAAACTAGATTCTGATTCTCTCACAACCATTGTATCAATTCTGATTCATAGCAACCCTGTAGGACAGGGTAGAATTGCCTCTGTGGTTTTCTAAGAGGTATCACATGAAGGCCATCCCAACTCATAGGCAGGCCCCACAGGGCTTCCAAGGCTGTCATCTTTGTGGAAGCAGTTTGCCATTCTGCCTCAGAGAGGCTGGTGGGTTCGAACTTTCAGCTATCGGCCCAGCACTTAACCTCTGAGTCACAAGAACTCCTAGCCAGCTCTTTGAAACTCTCACTGTCAGGGGAAGGGAGAGTAAAATGAGGAGCAATACCAAGGGCTCAAACAGAATGTAAATGTTTAGGGAAAAAATGATGGCAACATATGTACAAATATGCTTGATACAATTGATGTATGGATTGTTATAAGAGCCACCAATAAAATGATCTTTTAATAAAAATAATTTTTTTCAAATCAAACTTTTTCACCAAAAAAAAACCTTTTACTGTCATAAAGTCCATGCCGACTCATAGCGACCCTATAGGACAGGGCAGAACTATTCCTGTGAGTTTCTGAGACTGTAACTCTTTAAGGGAGTAGAAAGCCCCATATTTCTCCCATGGAGGAACTGGCAGTTTCGAACTGCCGATCTTGTGGTTAACAACCCAACTTGTAACCACTCCGCTACCAGCGATTCTTGCCAACTCTTAGCCAAGGACAAAGGTAAAAGTACTTGCAATGTAAAGAACAAACGCAAAAGTACAACTGCAATGTCCCTTCCTGTAGTGCCAAGCACCCACTGCCTCCCAGCCCAAGACTCACATCTGAACCAAGCCAAAGCTCAGTCCCATCCCCCCACCCTCCTGCATACACCCAGTTCATCCACCCAGGAATCCTCAGCCCTGAGACAGACTCCTTGGCAGGCTCCCCAGCCCTACACTGTTGTCCCTTTAAATGTAAGACCAACAGAGATCCTTAGGACTCCTGTCTGAAAGCCCCACCATTTCTTATGGAAATTCCTTGGCCTTGGCCTTGGCCCAGCAGGAAGCAGAGGTCTGTTAGCAATTCCTCTGCACTGGGAGCCCCCACCTCACATCATCAATGTTCTATCCTGCCCCTCTCCAAACCCATCAGGCCAGCCTCCTGGCTCCCTGCAAGTAATCAGTTGCTGCTGATCTACTGCAGATCTTAAACCCCATAAAATTCATTTTGCAACACAAAACTCATAGTCATTGAGTCAATGTCGACACATTAGTGACTCTATAAGACAGGGTAGAACAGCCCCAACTGGGTCCTTAATTAGAACTCATCTAAACAGGCCTGGAGTACCAGCTGACTTTGATACAATGTGAGCTAACCAGGGTTCTGACTGGCCATCTGCAGGCTAAACCAGGCTCTGGTTGGTGGAGTGCCAACTAACCAGAGGCTCAGATTGGTGGAATGCAAACTAAACAGAAGTTCCGGTTGGTCTCCGATTGATGACTGTCTGGCTAATTGGAATTGCAAGGTGATACTGCTCTTGTAAAGGGGGACTTTCCACAGCTAGCCTGGAAGTCCCTTTTTGGGTTTTTCAGTTGAAGTGAGGCACCAAATGCAAAAGCCCCAAAGTTACTGCCTCCAGCTTCGCCAGACTCCCTCAGGGGAGCAGTGAAGGTGGCCTGTATCCACCAGACATCATCTCTGGCTCTCCACACCCTTCTACCCACAAGAGCCAGGCTCCTGGAGGCTGGTCAGGGACTGCCCTGGAATAAGGTAGGGCACTTGGGCAGCCAGGGACAAAACCTCAGGTGTTAAGACCAGTGTGGCCAGGCCAAGATCAGAAACCACCGCCCTCCCACCCCACACACTGCCCCCTGGAGACCA